GGATGACAGAATAGAGCAAAGGGCAGATAAGGAGGGAGAAATCCCAAAGCAGGATATCTTCAAGCCAAGCCTTGAACAATGGCTGGAATTTCCACAGGTGGCCATGGAGGATTTTACAGGTGAGTTAATCATCAATGTGCGTGGCCAGGAGTGACATGGGGGGATGGGGATAATCAAAATCTTACCTGGACATCAGGATCAGATGAGCTAAAGTGCTACATACAGCACCTGGCATGGGACCTCAACTTGCCCAATCCCTTCATTTTACAGTTGGGGAAACTGAAGCCTAGAGGACAGAGTTGCCTGCCCAAGATCATGCAGTGAGAAAACACCAGCTGGACCAGATAGAACCTGGGGAGGGGGAAACGGTTAGACTGGAACAAGGAACTCAACTGATGGGGGCCACCCAAAGGCAAAGGCCAGACTCCTTTCTTCCCTCCTCTATGGTGCTGTCCAGCTCTGCCTTCTCCAGTTTCTTTTCTCACTGCTCATTTCTCCTGCAATATCCCTGGTGCCCACTGGATGGCGCCTGGAGCTCTGATTTGGTGCTGGATCCAAGAGTAATTGCGGGCACTTGGCACCTGGCACTTGGACCGATGAACCTGGCCTTCTCCATAAGACCATCCTGTCCCTTAACACCCTTCCCCCACTCTGGTGGGCCCCACCATCGCAGCCTAGAAGTTGATTCTGTTCCTACGCATTGACCACACATTCCTGGAATGTGTGTTAGTGTTGACAGGTACTGGTTCCCTTGCTCACCTTCTGATTCCCTTTTTCCTCTTGCTTTCCTCTTACCCTCTCTTACCCTATTAGATAGGACAGAAGTTTTGAGTACTAGCCACAATCCCACGTGAGAATAGCCCTTGCAGGCTAAGAAGGAGAAGCCTTACAAATGACTCATCAATTTAATATAACAAATGTCTATTAACCTAAGAACAGAAAGTAAGAACCCAAGTAACAGCTGGGGGAAAGTAACACTGCCAAGAAAGCTTAGGTCAAAAGAAGGCACAGAGCCCAAGTATAGACCCCCGGCCTCAGCCTCCTAGTGTTTAGGCAAGCAGGGAGGTTATGTGGCTTTCAGAGCCGGATAAGTCTGGGCACAGAACGCTTACATATTTATAGAGCCTTGAGCTCAGGTCCCCTGGAGGGAACTCGGTGCCCTGAGCTGTTCTGGTTTCCTGGAGATTTTGAGAAAGAACAATATTTTCTGCAGTGATTGGCAGAGATGTCACTTATGGAGCTGTGCTTATACTTGGTAACACACACTAGCTGTGGCCTTGGATGGGAAAGTGAAGGGCAGGAAGAATGAGGCCTGTAACCTCAGCCAATTTCTCTGACTCCCTTACTGAATTTCACCTCTNGGAAGAATGAGGCCTGTAACCTCAGCCAATTTCTCTGACTCCCTTACTGAATTTCACCTCTGTTCTCTGGCTCTCTGTTTCCCATAGTTTTTGGCCTTTCTATCCTTTTCTAGCCCACAGCCCTCTCCTGTTTCTCCAGCTGGCACAAATACTGTCTCCAAGGATTGTTTACTCTTCTGGCTCTTTGAACCCAGGATAGTGAGAAAAGAGAGAGAAGAAAACTGTCAATTAAGAAATACCTACAGTGTGCTGGGACCATGCTATGCCTTGCATCTGCGTTGTCTTGTTTAAGCCCCTCCACCTACAGAAGGGAAAACTGAGGTTGAAAGAGGGCAGTTCCCCAAGGCCCAGACCTTCAAAGTTAGGATTTGAACCCAGGTGTCCTTGATCCCAGAGTATGCCCATTTCACACTTCTGTCTCTTGGTTCATCAGGGACAAATTTGGGCTTTTTCAGAGAAACCTTTCCTAGGAAACTTAAGGGACAGACAAAAGCAAAACTCAAGATATGGGGCAGATAAGTGGCAGGATCCATCTCATCACTTATCAGCTGCACAGTCTCCACATTGTGCTTTTGCAAGCCTCAGTGTCCTCATCTGTAAAATCTGAATGGCAGTGCCAACCTCATCAGTTAGAAGAAAGATCAAGCCGTCAGTGCGTGTGAACGTGCGTAGTGGATGATCAGAAAGGACCACCTTCTTTTCAGACCGTTATTTGCCCCCTTCCCCACCTCATCTCATCTCATCTGAAGTAGAAGACCCCGCCTAGGTGGCTCTAGATCCCCAGGCGCAAAGAGGAAGTTGGGCCACATCGTACAGTGATAAGCAAATTGCTGTTATGTACACAGAGGAGGGCACTAACAGCTCAGCTTTTATAGGAGCCAAGGAAGGCTTCCTATAGATAGGGCAAGTGAGCTACACCAGGGAAGAAGGGCAGACATTCCCCAGACGATAAAGGAGAAGAGGGCTCCCGGGCAGAGGGATCCAGTGACATTTCAAGAGCACATAGGGAAGCTGAGGCTGGAGAAAGTCGGCCTTAGTCCCCAGGGTGGATCATTACTCATCACATGACAAAGGCTTGTGGGTTAGTGTTTCTCAGACTTTATGGACTTGTGAAGCACCTGGTGAGTTTGTTAAAAATGTAGCATCCTGAAGTGGGACCCAGGAATCTTTGTTTTTCACCAGCTCCCACGTGACACCACGCAGGTGATCAGAGGAAGAATGAAGACGCAGGGCCACAGGTGATGGGAGTGAATGCAGGGCAAGGATTGGAACAGTGTCCTCCCCCTAGGCGGGTCTTAGGATCTTGGGCATATGTCATACAAGACCATGAGCCCAGCATCAGTGGACTTGAAGAGCTAAACTGAGAAACAGCAAATGGGGGAACCCCTGTGTAAGAACACCAAGCAGATTATTACAAGTTTGTTAGGAATCATCATGGGCAGAGTAGACAGAGCAGGTTCAGTTCGGAGGGTTTTTCAGTTCAGAGGCACAAGCTGGAGATAAGAGGGAAAATTG